GTTTTTTCCAAACCCCAATAATTGGGCTTTAAAATCCAAACAGTTCGGGCCCTTGTTTTGTTAATGCTGCTTGGGCAACAACGGCGTGTCTAAGGACGCGTGCCCGGAGTTTGGAAATTACCATTTCTATCCATGTCCTACTTCCCATGTCCATTTGACGCAGAAAACATGTTTGCCTTGTTTGTTGCCTTCCAATTCTGGTGGGATTTAGGCCTGGGGAAAATCAGACAACACATCAATGCAAGTAGAAAGTAACTAGCACATGCGATATTGCTTGAGTTCCAACTTTGGCATATAAATGTGGGTATTCACTTTGAATGCTGTCATTTTACAAAAAGACAAACCGCAAAACACAATAGCGCACTGTTGTGCGATCTTGACAGTCAAACAAAATTAGACATGTTTCACGACCAACATCGACCCACACTGATTTCTCTATTTGTGTACCGGATGCCTTAAATCTGTCAGATTGGTCTTGTTTTTCCATTTGTTCTCCAAAATACGCGAAGCGAGCGAGCCCTAGTTTTTTTTGCTCCAGGTGCTACTTTTTGTGTGTAAGAGACGGCGTACCTTCTTGTTTTTCACTGCTGTCACTGGCATGCCCCAATCCAAAAAAAATATAGCATCAGAAGAGGCCCCTAAACCTTCAAGAAATGCTGAGCTTTCCCAATTGTTCAACATAGGCCCAACCTGATGCCTAACATGGTTTCCAAACACCCAGCATGAAAATGGCCCACCATACACATTTCACAAGCAGCCTCAACCATGTTTTTCGGTCGATGACTTAAGGAAACGCCAAAACGACGCAACATAGGTTTCAAACGGCCCAAGATAGGCCCAGCAGAGCTTCCAAATGGCCCAACATAGGCTCAACAAAGGCACCAAAACGGCGCCGAAATGTTTTTGGCCGAGGGCCTAAATTACTTAAGCAAACCAGCGTAGCTTCCAAATAGACCAGCATAGTCCAACATAAAAATATAGAAATGAACATATTACAAAAAACTAGATTTGAGCGTTTGTTGCCATCAAAGAGGTATAGAAACTACATCTCCGTACAGGTAGCTGTGCACGCGCACATACACATGTATATATAGACAGCATAGTTTACTTCCGAAAAGGCAGAATTCAGAAATGTGTTTGTTTTTGATTGTTGGTGTTTGACATATTTGTAGTAGAAACAAACTCACCCATGTCAGTTTTAAACGCGTTTCAACAATTGAGGGAATTAGATCTTGAATCTGTATTCAGCTAAGAATCGCACCAAGTCTTCGAAGTACAAGCTATGTTGGTTGCTCGCGTGGATTGACACTGGACTGCGTCCTCAGTTGAGGACGCAGCCGTCTAAACATATTGTTCGGCAGTGTCTTGTTTCATATGTTCATGTAATTACTTTCTTTTTCGCCCGAGAGAAACTTCCAAGTTTTACGGGAGCGCGTCTTGCAAGTAGTTGGTGCGGGCACTGGCGCCATTTTCCCGAAACATATATGCGTAGTAGTAAAGACGGTCTACTTCTCTTGTTTTGCCGGATTTTTCCTTCAGGTAACAAAAGAGGTGCGTGCCCTGTTCTCTCTGGTTCACAACTTGTGGCTTAAATGGCGGCAGTTTTTTGGAACCCATTTGGACGAGAAAATGCGTGAAAATTTGAGGCTGGCTCATTTGTACCTCCCTGGGCCCCAAGAAGGTCAAATGGGGGCATGTACCAACTTAGTTGGTACGAACGACGCTCTAGGATGAAATGTTATGAACGGTTGTGAGAGAAATCGGCACTCTCAAATAGTCGTTACTTGTTGTTGGGCGTGGTAGTGAGGACTGACAGAACGGGCCCGAGTCTCCATAGTAATCTCCGTGGTACTTCTTTACACACAACGCACTTCTGAGTCTCTGCACGCTGAAGTCTTGCAAATCAGAAGCTTGTTGAAATCTAACCGCTTCCCATCTTTGCACACACCGCTTCTCCCTGAGCTGCCAATGCCAGGGCTGCCATGTTCCATAGGTGATTCCGATCTCAGACAAATAGCTCCGTGACGCAGCAACCTCTTGTTCTTGCTTACTTTTCTTCTGGTTCTTCATCTTCTTTGCCACACGGCAGCGCCCATTGTCCACGACCATGCCTGCACCTTCTACCTCTGGAACCTCCGGAACGTCTGGAACATCATCGGACTGCACCTTGGGTACTTCCAAAGACACACCAGGGCGCTGTCTCCCAGGCAGGGGCCAATGTGCCACTGCCAATCTTCCTTGCTTTTCTCTGAGATGATTTCGGTCTTGTTCTTTGGAGTGGCATCAGCCTTCTTCTTGGGTGGATTCGACATCCTCTGACTCGAGTCTGATTTCTCTTCCACCTCAATCAGGAGGAACAGGTGAGAGGATTCGATCTGCAACCTGCGGAAGCTAGCTTTTTTGGAGATCCTGAACACGCTGCAAATCTTTGCTGTCATGTTCATTGAGGTGTTCTTTTTCTTAGTCACTCTCGATCAGGCGTTTTGCACACCGCAACGATGATGAATTCAATGTCAGCGCGAACCCTGACGGTGCGACTACATGGGTTTGAAATCTGAACGTGGAAGGCTCATCCACAAGATTGCGCTACGCAGACAGCGCAAGCAAACCGCCTGCGGATGAGTTGGAGGCTGGTTGCCTCAACGCCTACAAAGGGAAAACCTTTAACGCGCTAAAGCACGCAAAAATCAACACACAGCAACAAACCGTTCATGATCAGCGGGCCTTAGTGCTGACAAATGCAGAGCTCATCCACACACGTTTGGAGAGGCGCGCGCGCAGAAATGTCGGTGTTCCCCATCAAAGGGCTGTACTGATTGCGATGCTGCCACCATTAAGGAGCAGGGTGGCCCACCCACTACCACCCCGCCAGGAACAAGTCCCAGCGGCCCAGCGGGCTCAGGGTATAAAAAGAATCAACGCACACAAAGATACTGCCACGGCACAGAGTGTCTCCCGACATGTCAAGAACGTCCATTGGAGCACCAACAAGACGCGCGCGAAACTAGTCAGATAATGATTCTTGTCCAGCTGGATGTCGTAAGATTTGGCCAGCTTTGCGCCAACATTTCCTGGGCAGGAACATGTGTACATGTGCGCCAGTGCCTTGACTTGCGCACGCTTGAACTACCTTTGATTCACGTAGGGTACAAGAGGCGCCTTCTTCTCTGATGCGCCAAACAAGTGGAAGCAGTCCAAAGAACGGACACCTGAGATTCATTTAGATTTTCTTTTTGTGAGGATATTGCCTGTCTCAAGCCAGAAAAATTCAGAACAATACCGCTAATCAATATATCACGGCGCTCTCCCAAGCCAGCAACTCGACAAGCAAGGTGAGAAAGCGCATGTGCCCTTCAGCCTTAAACCACCTAGGCCGACACCGTCACTATAAGTCCCCTGACGTGTCTGATCAATATAGAGGCGGTGACATCACTCATGCCTGAATTTTGAGTGCATCCAAAAATGTTTATAGGCTTCTTTTGGCTTCTGCCAGGTTGGTTGGCCCATGTCTTTACAGAGGCCACAATGTTGCAATCTACATATTGTGTGGTTTGGTGGGACAAAAAAGAATAACATCTATGTTGAAAAGTCAATTACGTTTACCATGGTTTGCCCATAACATCATAACATCCAATTGTTATCCATTGTTTTATCCTTTTTCCAAGCCACCCAACACATCCCTACTACTCCATAGCAAGGCTCTGCCTCTCAGAGATTGAGGTTGCAGTATCTTCTCCCACTATGCCGCTGACCATGGCTCCAATTATGAGCGAAATGGACAAAAACCTATTTTCCTACAAGTGGCCCTGCAAGTATTTATTTGCATGAATGTTCCAGCCAACGGTCAAACATGGCACAGATGTCTCAGAGTCAAAGGATATCACAGGCAGCTTACCACGTGTTCAAATCTCTCCACAGTTGTGAGATGATGAACGACCAACGATTCCGGCCTTCTTGGCTACCTTCCTAGCTTTTGCCAAGCGTGAGATTTCCAGCGTCCAAGCCCATGCCTGCCTGAGACACTTCATGTTAAACGATTTTTGCTTGTGCATTCTCACTTTCAAAAACTATGGTTTCATTTGCGTCAATCTTGAGATCTCTTGATCTTCCAAGGCCAATGCCATGATGAACGGCCAATGTTCATCTTGCATCTGCTAACTTAGCGTGTTTCAATTGGATATTCTTCCGAGAAAAAGTTTGAAAATACCAGACCTCCCAACAACACACCTCAAAAACATTCGAAGGTGGTTGAAACACGCTCTACATGTTTTTGTTTCTCATACCAAGAAGCCCCAAAGCTGACGGTCCAAGATGGTGCATCCATCTCGTCCACGCAGTTCCGGATACCCTCAGATGTACGTTGCAAGAGCTTAGAAGGACCACCCTATGTTAAAACAACACACTTCTTATGAAGGTACTTCCCCTTTCGACACTCCAAAGATGATAAGCTATCCAATTCTTGACTACACACAATGAGCTCTTAGTTTCCTCCCTCCATTTAACAAAAAAGCAAGAGACGCATTGTGTCGGGCAGCCGGCAGCTTTTCAGCCATGGTTGCAATCTGAAAATCTCTGCAGGAAGATGGCTTTTTCAGTGACATCTTGTATCTTGTTTTTCAATAATCTCCAAATTACTTATCTTTTTGATTCAATAATGTTGCGCACGTAAAGCTGTCCATGCACATCTCTATGTAATTCTATTTCTGAAGCATCTTGTGTTTGATGCGCTTTTTCATGAGCCAAGAAAGATCACAGCAAAGCGACACATCAAAATCCAGCAAAATCTTGACACGGCAATCTGGCAAGCCTGATTTCAATATAAAATGGGGTACCCACCGCACCCCTTGAGGGGTTCCATCTCAAAACGCTTTATACAGAGGTAGTCCCCCTAGATTTAATGGAAGATAATGCCACGGGGATCCACGGGGATATTTCAACTGTGTCAATTGTACCTGCAACATCCTGCAACGAACAGTTCAGTTCAAGCTGATACAAGTGGCACAAATCTGCCGGCTTTGGGCGGCTCATTGGAGTTCTCTTCTTTGGCCTGCTTGCTGCCTGCACGTGTGGAGACATTCTGGATGGATCGTGTTGCATCTGAGATGCACCGCTAAGCAACAAGTTCTTCGACTTAGCACGACCGGACCGTGCAAGTCTCGACCCGCTCTGACACGAAAAAAACCGTCCGGTCTCGGCCTCGCAAGTTGGAACCTTTCAGAGCCTCGCAAGTTGGGTCCAAACGCAAAGCTTCACATGCCTTCGCCATTTTCGATCAGTGGATCCTGCCTGCGAGCTCGTTGAAGAACCTGCGGGAGACATGAGGATCTTATTTCTTCATGACCGATGACAATTGAAATCCTGTCATGAAAAACCTTGTCATGACTGTCATGAATAAATAAACGGACCTTCAGCAGCTGGAGCGACGATGTCCTTGACAATGTCTTTCGCCAATTGCTTCACCACGTGTCCGGAGATGGTCGAACCTTTGCCATGTCAACAACATGAGAAAATGGCGACCCCGACCCCAATTGCTGAACAAATTGGTGTGCGCAATCGTCTGAATGTGCATCTAACTTCGGACGAAGTCTTTTGTGCGTCATATGATATCATATGTTGGGCTATGTTGGGCTGGAACTCTGAAAGTGGTCTCGAACTCATGGTCGTTTGTAAAGCCTTGTCCGTTATGGCCCTAAACTCCCTCGGAAGAGTTGTTTGGCACGTCACAGCTCAAAATAAATCCAGGGACCATCTCCTGAAGATGCAGCCGCTCGAGCCCATGCTAATTGCTTCTCCTCACCACGTGCTGTGTCTGTCGCTAGCACGCACGCACACCCCGTTCTGAAAAGTTCGATGGCTGAGGATTTGACTGTCTGCTGTGGCCTGCACACAAGACATATCTCACCACCACTCACTGGAGGTGAGCCGACTTAAAGCTGAAAGCGCCTGTCATCATGTCTTCCAGTGAGCTTGTTTCGACCTTTACGAGCCAGCGTCCTGCAAAACGAACCGCACTAAGGTGTATGAGTTTGCAATCTGCGGACACTTGGGGGCACAGCAAAGCAATGGGTAAAATGAACGGCTTGGTCTTGCCTGGTCGGTTGATAGAGACATTGTTCCAAACTATGGCATGGGGATTCAAGGGGCAAGTTTCATGACCACCATCTCCAGAGTCCTTGCCATTGACTAATGTCAAACAAAACGAATTTCAAAACGCAATGTCAATTGACCATTTAGCAATAACCAAAGCCTGAGGATTATTATTTGATACTATATAAATGAAACATAGGAGAAAGAAAGAAAGTCGAAGGAAACGCACCTCAGCTTCTCCCGCAAGAGAGGTCCAATGAAGCGCTGGCTTCTCTCACCTATGCAGCTGGCGACTTGGGGAGTCAGCCATGGTTGGACGGGTTACTAGTAGTTACTAGTAGCTTCTTGTTACCACTAGTAAGGCCAGGAGCCCCTAGTAGCGTCCTTGCTCCTTGTAGCGATGCCAGGAGCCCCTAGTAGCTTCGTGTCCCTCAATTGTTTTCATTTCAATAAAACAAGCATGCCATCATCCGTACACCCGGTACACTCGGTACACCCTCACACCCCCGCCAAAAGAATCTTTGCACAACACTAAGCATGTATGATGAGCTTCTTGCAATCTCCTTTATGGCTCAATTTCACAATTTCACGGAACCTTTCTCCACAGCAGGTCGAGTACTTCTCCCCAAATGACCCTAGTAATCCTTTAAGATCCTTTGAGGAGCCACCGAGCGGTCAAATAATATCAAATAATAGTGACGGCCTGCAACCTAATGGCACTTTCCTCCAACCTAATAGCCATGGCCTCCAACCTAGTAGCGATGGCCTCCAAGCTAATAGCGATGGCCTCTAACCTAATAGCAATTTTGCATATAAATAGTCGTCTATAATCCGTATATAGTATCAAACATTAAAAGATAGAAAGAAAGCCTACAGTCTGCAGCCACCGAATTTGACTCTCACAGTCACAGAAAAAAACAAGATCATCCCATCGTTTGATTCACAACCTCTCTATGGGATTGGCACGAGGAACCACTTGAGTCCTCGTTTGCCATGTGTAATTTGCAGGCCATTCTCTAGCAAGCCTCCCAAGGGGTCCTTCAACACGGACTGGAGAAGGACGATATTCGTCGCCTGTAGCTGGTCGGTTGCAAGCTGTGACAGCCCTACTCTCAGGCTAATGAAGAGGCAGTTGATTAATGTCGTTGATTCGACCGAAAGCACCATAGTAATTCATTCGTAGCATTGCAAAACTCGACCTGCAGGTGAGTCAGGTGAGGGCTCTGATCCTACAACTACTGCTCGACCCAGTCTCGCTGTAAATCTAAGTGCATCTATATAGATACTAAATCCGTCTGATTCATGGCTGAATGCATCTAAATGCCTGACGGCCATGGGTTCGTACGTCATTCGCCATTCGAGCTGAGTCACTGCGAAGGCTCCAAGCAGGAAAAGCCCACAGAAGGCCACTGAAATATTGTTTCGAAGCTGTCGAGCTCTTGCCTCCTCACTTCGGTCGGCAGGCTGGCTCTCTGCGGTCGACGTTGGTTGAGATTGTTCTGACAAACAACAACGGATTTAAGCAATATTTATGGCATAATACGCAAATGAAGACTATGGCATTAGCTTCAAGCTTGGAAGATCTTGGAAGAATGTCAGGGTATTGACAATTGAAATGTGGAACGCCCTCTGAGACACACAAAAGCAGCGAATGGCAGGATGATTTCAAGCTTTCCAAACCTCGTTGGCTTTGTGTCTTCCCTTGGGGTACTCTGTATGTGCGTCTCATTGTCTGTCATAAACTTTCTTATGACATCTTTGCGACACTCTGTCATATGGACCGCTTGTGCCATGCCTCATTGCACTTCCTTTGACCATCTAAGCGCTTCTCCGATTGGCTAATCACTGCTCTCATGATGTCAGCTCAGCTGAGCTGAGCTTCAGCTTCAGAAGCTTGGGCCAAAACATCTTCAAAGGTCACAAAGCTGGTCGCAACAGTCACCGCTTGTGCCCGAAAACGGTCACCGCACATCCGGTCCTTTCTCACACCAAAAGGCCTCATCGCCGGACTTGGACCTGGACCTGTGGCCGACCAAATGGCCCGACTGCATGGATGTACTGCAGTGAAAGGAAGATCTCTTTTGGCGGTTGCTTGCCATGCGCTTGGTCTTTGCCAACCCCCATCTGTCCAAGTCACTGGACTGGATGCCTGGCTGTAGGTACAAATCAAGGATGGCCAACATTAAGTGTTCCTCAACAAGGCATGATATGAGTGACAGTAACAGTAATCACACAAGTTTTGTGAAGGTCCTCTGATGGTGTCCCCAATCAACTCTTTTAGCCTAAACATTCGAAACCTTGGCCATTCGCTGCAAAACTGCTCTCCAGTGTTGCAAGGCTCGCCTCACCACGTGGATCCGGTCTTCAGGTCTTGTATGCAACCCAGTCTCGGATCCAATTCACCAGTCGCTGCAGCTGAACAGCGACTCCAAGTCCAGTGATGACTGCCATTTGTCTGGACATGTCATACGAACACATTCCAATGTATGCCACTGCACCAGCAAGTGCAAAGAATAGCAGCAACTCAGGAAGACGGCCCAAGTTAATACGAAAGCGGCCAATCTTGAAAGAGTGATCCGTATTGGATTCGTCAACAGCGTCTGTCTTCCCCTCGCAGTTCTGACGCTTGCGCACTTTGGAATCTGGTGCCATTGCTGGAATTGTCGCTATAAAAATGTCATCTGGCCCCTGTTGAAAACTCGTTGCATTGCAACTCACACAAAATGTCTTTAGCCCTCGTGTTGCACGATTGAACATGCCGGGTCTCCTAGATTCGTGGTGAGCTTGGCAGCTCATTCCGCACCAATTCCCTCGTCTGCAAGGCCCCTCATTTCATTTCACAAAATCTGTCCTCAGCCCTGACAGCTGCCATATACAAGTATCAAGAAGCTATGAACGTAACAAAGGGCATTTCTACTAGGAGCAAGGACGCTAGTAGTAGCTCCTGGCCGTACTACTAGTAACAAGAAGCTACGAACGTAACTAGTACATGTTCTGCGCCGGTTCAACTCCGATGTTTTGCAGTTTTGCAGATGTCCACTCGAACGCTGGAGCCCAAAGGTCGTTCAGAACAGGAGATCCTTCCGAAGGATCAAACATGGTCAAACTGGATCTATAATATAGACCCCCAATTAGATAGAAAAGTGGATCCCCACTAAAAATGTATTGGAAACCATATTGAATATTCGGCAACCATTTCAGGGATTGGCGTCGTATGCTTAAACCATTTTGGCACCATGCTACATAGCCTGGCATGGTAGTGAAAAACATTGCTACATCAATGTGGATTTGCTCCAGGGATCACTGTTACAGTGAGACAAAAGCTCGAGTATATTCGCTGTTTTCCATCCACTGCCCATCTTTGGAGCATTAAAAATCTGATAGAGCTTTTGCAATGAGGCGCATGGCAACATCAGTTTCAATTATCAATCCATCAGAATCTGCCACATCATTCTCTTCCGGAACGTCAACTTTGGCGGACAAGGCATGATTCAAGGAACCTTCTGGCACCCCTCCACCAAACGCCCACGCCTTCTCCAAATTCAATGCGTCCCAATAGACAGGAGCAAGCTGGGAAGTTGAATTGATGTCCTTTCGCATCTTCTCCAGATCTTCCTGCATGACTCTTCTCAACGCTCCCCTTGCAATCTCCAGTGCTTTGGCAGGAAGCTCCGGAAAGCGTTCCCTGCGAAACGCTCTGGCCAAAGCGAGTAGAGACACATCGACTCGAGGATTTTGGCCTCCAATCAGCATGGACTTCACAGGATACGGTTCCAATGCGTCATCTGGAGCTGTGGAGCTCTGTGTCCGAACATAAAGGAAAGGAAGCTCTTCCCCAGAGATTGGTTGCGCTTCCGCATACCAATCGTCCAGTTCTTCAAAGATCACGTTTCCTTCTCCAAGGCTGGTATTGCTAAAAGGCCGACCTTCCAGCCAACTCCTTCTGAAACAAAAACTGTTTTCGAAAGGCAGCGGAAGGCCCTTGCATCTCTGCAGAATCCCAGATGTCAGGACTGCCACAAAAGCTACCTGCGGAAGCGGGGAGCATGTTTTCTTTTTTTGTTAGTCTGTGATGTGCATGTGATTGAAACAGCTTGAAACACCTCTTGTTTCTTCTTGTGAATTATTGCAAAGGTATGAACGCCTGCTTTTGCCTGAATTCCTCGCCTGCTGGATGGTTTTCAACATGCGGTCACAAGTGTCTGAGGTTGTCGCAACGACGGTCTTCCAAGTCAGGTGCCGTTTTCCACGTCTTCTCTGCGTCCGTTTGCCTGAATGCTTGAGCAGCTGGCAGGGCGTGCCACCATTCTAGAGACTTGTTGTCGAAGCCTCGGAGCACAGACTTGTGAAAGAGCGGGTCTGAAACAAATGAGAATCTCTTCTGGCACTCTTCGCAACAATTTGTGATAAGAAACAAAGAAATCTACCCCCAAAAGCAACTTTGAAATTGAAAGATGACTATCTACAATGGTCCTCAAGCACTTCCATTAAACTGCTTCTCAGTTACCTTCATTGCCATGTTCCAACTTGAAACTCAAAGAGGTCTCAAATGGTCTGACCGCTTGGTTTCTCTGTGTAAGACATCCGATAGCCGATTCTGCGCCACAGAGGATCAACCGAAGACATATGATCCTTCAAAGCTTGTTGGTGGAATGCTACTCCGCGTGGCCGCAGGCCAAAAAACACAACCTTTATACGCTAAAGAGGCAGAGACCTAGTAGCAAAGCCTTTACCGCTTGTTTGCGCCAGTCCTCAGACATGCCCGAGGAGGTTTTGCGCCTTTCGAACGAGGTTCCGGAGGTTCCAAACAAAGTTTCATAGGTCCACAAAGACTTGTGGAACAGGTCGTTCAAGAGGCTAAAAGGAGATAAGAGTCCTGGACAAAAGGGCCCCTACATTCATTTAGTTGTGGAGGAGGTTGTGGAGTCGTGATTTTGGAGCCGTTCAGGTTCGGGGTTCTCTTCCATCCTCACGGTCCTCACACCTGGGCGAACCGCCACTGTGGCAGTTGCTGATGGGAGGCCGGAGTCACTGGGAGAGAACGGCAAATGAGCGTGGATGGAAAGTGGTTGGAACGGTATGTTTGTTTTAATGTTCAGGTATCATTTTCTAAGGACAGTTGCTCAAATGATCTCAAATGAATATAGCTGTTCTGTTGCAGGGGGCTTATCCACCAAAGCAGAACCTCCGCTGGAAGTTCTGCGAGATTTCGTCGCTGCAACGGGCGCCTACGCAGTGCTGGGTTTTCGGTGGTGCAATTGTCAACGGCAAAAGTCATTCAGAGTCAAAGAAAAAGGATGAAGAAGTCAATGACAAAGCGGAAAAGAAGGAGGCAGCTTGCAAGAAAAGCTCAAAGGCTGCATTTTGACAGGCCTGTTGAAGGTTCTCATGAAGGTTCCCCCCTTCTTTTGGCGCCGGGAAGTTTCCCAGCATGTCTTGGAATCAAGATGCAGCGGGTCCGGTGCCCGGATGTTTACAGGATGTTTCCGGTCGGGTTGATACTTGCTCTTGAGCAAAGTGCTTCTGAAATTTTGGGTGTCCCCATGGCGAGTTAAGTTTGGATCTTATTAAATCTTGTTAATTGCTTGAACAACTTGGTAGCGTCCCTTTTAAGGGGCCGTGGAGTGGCGGGAAATGTTTGGATGAGGTTTTGTTCGAAATTGTTCCGAAACCACAGCGCCACATAGCAGTGCTTGAAAAGTGTTGTTTTGCTTGTTTTGTCTCCCCAGTCAAGGTCCGCCCATATTTCGGACAAATTGTGTTCTTGTTGCAGTGTGGTTCCCTTTTTTTTGAAGAGGGAAACAAGTTGCTCCATTTCATCATTTTTGTCTGAAGTTGTTGTACTTTGGGAAGCCAGCTGGAACTGGAAACAGGCTGGACAAATATTGGTTTCGTAAAATGCCAAACCAATGAAACAATCTTCATCTATTCATCAATGTGCCAGCGTCTTGACAAACGACGCACGACAAGGCCTTGATGGACTCAGTTGACCCACGAACCACCAGTTCTTCGGACCGGGTTCTTCTATGGAAACCACCATCGAAGGAAAAACAAATCACAGGAACCTCCCAGACCTGCACAGTTGCTCACAACAAAACCGAGTGTCATTACCCCCACCCCGAACACGTCACATAGCACATGCAGTGGCGTAGCACGTAAACCAAGTGTCATTAAAAACGAACAAAAGTCCACGGCCTCTTAACAGGGGTCCCACCAAAAACTGGGATCGTCCTTTGAGGCTTCTTCCATCTTCTTCCCCTTTCCTTCAATGAACAACTCTGGACTCCATCTCAAAGATCGTTTTGGCTGTGGCTACAAGTTTGAAACGGTACCTATCTGCTCCAGTGGAACTGGCAGTGTCTGGCCATACCATACTCATTTATGTGGTCTGCGCAGTGGATCTTCACAGGTCTGTCATCTGTTCTCCATCTGGCACCAACTATTTTGGATGTCAAGCCATAAAAGACCCTGAAAAGGGACAGGTGCAGCTTCGTACCCTTGTGGTGGTCATCAAGTGAACCTTTCAGGTAGAGACCATTTGGCGACTCAATCACGCACAATAGAGACACCAAATTAATTAGACCATCTCATCTCAGGTCGTTTCACCGACAGCGCCCGGAATCGTTGCATGTTTCTTACCCGAAGGAAGCGTCGAGCGAAAAGACACGCCGCCAGCTGCGACTGGCTGCACGACTGAGGCTGAAACCGATCCACTGTGAAAATGTCGTCATCATCCCAAATGCAGATCATCTCAGCACCAGACCTGACAAACGAATGATGCTTCGAGTAGCTGGCCTGGTTGACCGGAATTCCATGCAATCCTGGAATTCCATCCATTTATTATCAGATCTTTAGATTGAACATCATGTACACTTAGACCCTATGTATAATCTGTCTATATAGCTCAAATTCGATCCGCGATAAAGCCCCAGGGGCCCCAAGCCATGCGAGACAATCGTGGGCCTTGTGGCCTCCGCTACAGCCATATTGCGCTTCTCCCCAATTGTGCATCGATCAACATGAAAATACCTCAGGTGCACCGATGAAGCGACCGGGATCTCTCCTGATCCAAGACTCATCTCACTTGAGATGATCAGGGAAAGGGATGCAACGGTGCCTGCTCATGAAAGCCGTCTTTGGAAAAAGCATTCATGCGGATGGCATTAACTTAATATTAAACTATACTTACTTAATATTATGGTGCTAGAATGTGCAGAATCTAAAATGCACCAAACAACAAACACAGCGCTGAACACTCAGCGGGTGGCATGAGACTCTAGGAGCTCCACCGGATATCGAGCTCTTGTGGAAATTGGCTTGCTTCCTCTGCCCGAGGACTGTCATCCATGACAATCACCTCCACATCTGCAATTTGCGTTGATTCAAACGGAAGCACGCACCCGCACATGACCGCTCTCCATGGGTTTTCCATGCTACGTAGGTACTTTGAAGTTCAGAAGAAGTGTTCACATTCAATGTGTACATTGCACATTGAAATTTGCAGGAAGCGCAAGCAGCCTTGCATTAGCATTTAATGTCACTCTTAACGTAGATCTGGTTTTTTTGGGAAGCCCGATCTCATTTTCAGACAAGTCTTGCGCGGTTGTTGACAGTGCAAGGCGGCGCTGGTGGACTGACTCACTATTGTCGTATCCTCAATGTATCGCTGACCAGCAATTGCATGCAGCATCACCTTGCCAATCAAAAGAACAACCTCAAGTTGACACAGCAGCTGTACTTCCAATCACCGTGCCAAAAATATATTCTATGTTTTTGTTGTTTTTACTTCTTCATGTGCCGTATCTTGTCAAGTGTTTAAGATCCTCGAAACCATGCCTCATACGACCTCACAGTTTTCATACCAAAATCTGCAAACGCCTCAGGAAACTTGCTGTTCAATGCTGTTCAGCTGACTGCTGATGGTCTTACAAGGTGGTTGCAAATGTTCAAGGCAAAATGACACAAGACGTACCCAAGGGGAAAACAAGGCTGACAAAAATGGTGCGGTGAATGCTGTTTCGAGTTGCTGTCTTGCATACTCGCACATCGATCTAAGCTTGCCATCCCTGCTCTTGTCGTGCTGACGGGCAGGTACCTCCTCACGGCAGTTTGTGCTAGTGCGGAGCTCACGGCAGAGCTGGCAGTAAATTGTTTATACAATAGAATTTCAGATTTCCTGTGCCAAGGGCGGCCGCAGATTTCGTGGCAAGGGCAATGGCAGCAATTTTGTGATTTTGAGATATTTTGAGTTGCAGAACTGTGGTAGGACGGTTAATGAAAAACAACAATCCTCCTCAAACAACATGACACAGCAACTTGCAGCAGGGAACACGACTTTTGCCTCTGATCACACATCGCCTCCAATGGCCCGGGGTAGTCCTGCATGGCAATCTGTTGCAGCGCCTGTCCGACAGAAAGGTTTGCGGAAGAGGGGGGTCCCACCAACATAGAGCAAAGCTCTGGGTTTTGCCTCTGATGTTCGTCTCGGATGGATGTTGTTCATGGCATTTCGCTGCTCATTGCTCCCTCCCCGTGCTGGCCATGCCTGTATTAAAAAAGCTGAGCGGTTGTAGGTGACAATCTGCACACTCACAAATGGCCAAACCGTACCTCGAAAACTGCCCCACATCTGCTCACATCACAACGGTGAGCTGAGGGCCTTACGTTCAGAGCGGTCCGGCTGCACTCGTCCGCATGTTGCCTAGCTGGATACACAGAATGTCCTTTCCGCTTATGTTCAAGAGTTGCAATAATTTTGTTTTGTGCTATGGGATTGTAAATAAAGCATTTCTTGTTTTGTTTTGAACATATATACTGTATGTATACACATTATAATGTATGTCGACTCCAGAGTTTGTTCCAGCTTCAACAGGAACCCAACAAGGCAGCTAGGGCTGCTAGGGTCACCAAATTGCCAAGGCTCCAGCCGAATGGCGCAGTCCTGCTTGGCTGGGCTGGACACACGTCGAACAACCGTTGTCCCTGGTTTTACTGTGGTTCTTTCTTCAAACAGTGAGACTGGACAATGCCCGAGCTCAGGACAAACAACATCAAACTATACATATAATTGGGCAGGTCGCCGTGTCGAGCATCTTCATAGTCCTTTTGCTCAGTCTTCATGGATATAGATCTTTTTGTCGGGTCTTCCTACATTTTTCTTCCTACATTTTTGTTCGGGAAGGAAAATTTCAACCACGCCACAGCGGCAGCTTACGCGCAGGCTGTTTTCCAAGCGCAGAACTGTTAGGGGAGGAAGCAAATGATGACGAGGATGACGAATCATTGCTACTAGGTTGGAGGCCATGGC